GCATTCAATTGGTGTGGCCTTGTTGTTGATTTTCTGAGAAATGTGTGCTATACGAGTCCCTCATATGAATTGACTGAATGGTTGCTTGCCCCCCTCCCTCCCCTTCTCCACAGTCGTATGCACACGGGACTCGGGAGACTTGGGTAAAGCTGGAACGTTCCGTCCCACAGGTCTGCAAGAACGAGAACAAGTTCAACCCCTCCAAGTGCAGCCCCGGACCCTTCATTCCTGCGACCATGCTGCCTCCACCCCCGCCACCACCCATGGCGCGACCCGTTGCCCTGGTGACGTCAGGGGCCGGATCCACGACAAGTGCCACGCCTTCTCCCACCACCTCCACCACCACGTCAAGTGAGTCAAAGTTCCCCTTCTTTCTTCTTACATTTTGAGGCAGCTGCCTTCAACTAGATGAAGATTCTGCTGCCTTTTTGTGGCTAATACGAAATGGGGTTCGCCAGGCCTCCATCCAGGAAAGTCGTTTAAAATGCCTTTCCCAAGGGCACAAGATCGTTGACATGACAGGGTTCGAACCCGGGACCTTTTGGTTCTGAGCCAAACGCTCTACCCTTACGCCACATGACCCCACAAGTGATGGTAAAGATAGTCACATAGCATTTTTGTGTCTAGGACATGGTCCTGTACCCGTGTCATAATCTTCATGAAATGTGTTCCAGGTGCAGCCAGCGCACCCGGTTCCACCTGCCCCACCACCCCACCTGGCAACCGTGCCATCATGACCAGTCCCTTCGCTGCACTGGGCCGGCCGGAGACAGGCTTCATCCACCCCCAGGCACAGCACCAGGTGAGCACACACCTGTTCACAGCTGTCTGGTCATGTGTACAGGTGTCATGGTCATGTGTACAAGGCCATGTTGATTTGATTATATATATATGGATGACATCCTCCGGGAACCCCAAAACTGATGCGCGCATGCGAATAAAAAAAAAGTTTTGCAAAAAAAAAAGTTGTTTTCATTATGAAATGTACGTGGTTTTGAAGGTTGCACAAATGGCACAGAATATGGTTTGGCGAATAATCTACTCTTCGAATTCATTTCTTTACAATTTCGTCTTTTTTCGTTTGATTTTGGCATTCTACGACATTGGTATAGTTTTTATTTATTTTATTTTCTTTTGTAACTGACGGTATATTTTTGCTCATTTTGCAACTGTTTTGTACGATTTACAGTATGGTTGAAAACTTTTTTTTTGGAAAAGGCCGAAAACTCATGCGCGCGTGGATGTCATCCATATAATCAAATCAACATGGCCTAAGTAGGCTTCAAAAGCGACTGGAAACTAGAAATTGGCCAAATAGATCGAGATGACATACCAGTGGAGTTGGTCCGCTATAAGAGAACAGTTCGCAAATTGTACTCCTTTAGCGGACCAACTCTCCTGGCATGTTGTTTATTTAGCCAATTTATACTCTATCAAGCCGCTTTTGAAGCCTGTTTAAGGCTACGTTTTAGCAATTTTTCCAATTGGCCGGGTACATGTAGCTATAAACAATAATTGAGAGAACAATGAAAGTTTATTGCAAATACATACCCGAGGGCTAATTGCAGTTACAAACAACACAAGAAAGAAAATACAGTGGTATGTGAGACTATATCTACGGCCGTAATATTATACTATATTCTACAACATACATGGTACCAGATATAGTTTTAGTGGCTTTGACTTCTTCTTTTAAGGCAGTGGAAGACGAATTTACCCACTTCTTCTATAATATGTGGGTTCTTTGATTTTAGTAGTAAAATTGCTTTTTCGTGGTAGGGAATGGTCGGGAAGTAAGGGAGCATTTTGGACACGGTGGTAAATAATTGTTTGAACCGGCTGAAAAGTTCCAGGAAGAACTGACTGAAAGTTCCAGGAAGTCTCCTTTAGCCTCACTAAGAATCGGGACTTGGTTTACGTCTTTATTCTATTACTAAACATTGTTTTCTCTTTGTTATGTAGTACTTTATATGATTATATAACAATTGTGTTGTGTTCCAGGCCCTGGGTGTGGTCATATTTCAAGAACGTCCCTATGGAGGTACTGAGAGAACCGTACGTCAAAGAGGACCCCAAGAAAAACTGGAAGCCGAAACCCAAACCGAAGAACCCGGCTCCAGAGGTCTAAATTCCCGGTCACACATTCTGAACCTTCCCCCGAACTGAAGTTCGGGAACAGTCTGACCAGATTTAGGCCACGCCTACACCGATACGAATTGAATCGAATTTGAGTTAAATTTGAGTCAAATTAGACCACCCGAACACGCCTCTCTACTCCTAACCATGGTTGGGGGAGTTAGGCAGTGTTTGGGAGACGATATTCGACTATACGTAACAGGGACTTAACGGAACAAATAGTTTTATAACTGTGTTTGTTTTATTCGAATGTTGCACTACATAAATGCACGATTGCTGCTGTAAAGTGTTTTTATCATGACGTGATGTTGCTATGGCAATAACGTATCAATATTTTAAGTGCACAGTAAGATGTGAAATATAGTGTTTTACGCGCATAGGAATGTCTGAAATCTTTGTAGAATATATCCTACAGAAATTGTGCAATTCTACGATTATGTCTGCTTCTTACTCTATTAAAGATATATAACAAATCAATGTTCGTATGGATTATATCATTGCCTTTGTTAGGGATGATATGTTAAAATAACGAAGAAAAATCCCACTGAAAAATGAGTACTGAAAAAATTAAAACCAGAGCTAAACCTGCATTTAGTAACACCAGATAGCTTCAGGCATTACCAATGGCTCAGTGGCTTACACTAGAATACCTAGAATATACTGTCAACATGGAAGCGAAACGTCGACGTTAATCTGACTTCCACTCTCGAGCTCTCTGTCTCTCTCTCTCTCTATCTCTCTCTCTCCCTTTCTCTCTCCCTTTCTTTCCCCCTCTCTTTCCCTTTCTTTCCCTCTCTCTCTTTCCCT